CGCTCAACAAGCTGCCGCGGCTGCTAACGGAACCAGCTAAATGGTGTTTATACCCCCTATACCACGTCATACACCAATCTGTTTTCTGTCAGTCGAGGCGCTGTTAGGAACGCATGCCGCAAACTTTGTGCTGTGGCGCCGATATTACCCGTTGCTCGAACGAAAGCCCTGGGCACGCAAGGCTACTATATAATTGACGCATTATGGCAACGCCGATGGATTTGGGGTTGCTCCATCCTGCAAATAGGGCAACCAGGTTTGCGCTTTAGTGGCATGGCTATCGATATCATTTTGGCTGAAAGTCATGGAATGCGAGTTTGTCGTTTCCCGTTTTGATAAACCATACAGTGCTCTCTTTGGGTTAATGATTACTGGATCAAGCGCTTTCCGTGGTTTAGTCTGCTATTCGTGGAAGATGTAGGGCATGTTGGTTTTTCTGTCCTGTCTTGCATTTTCCTCCATCTGGCGGCAGCTCACAGTTCCCGGAGCCCTTAAAGGAAGGGAGGAAGGGGGTTGTGGATAAGGAGTCGGTGAATTAGTACGAGGAAGACGGACGGAAAAGTTACAGGTGGGGGAGAACAGTCCTACGGACACGGCTGCTAATCTATAGGTTGCTGTATGGAAGGGTGAGAACGCGAATCTAGAGCCTTTTTCGAAGAAAACAAAAAGTTGGTCATTACAGGCAAGTTAGTTAGACAAATATAGCATCTTTCAAACTCACTACATATTGTAGAAGTTGCGTTGTGCCATCTCAACGGCATTCCTACGAACACACCATAACCCTCTTAAAGCCGTCTTGTTGTTGGACTACATATTACTGTAGTTACCTCTTTCACCTCCCACAAGCTCATCATGGTGTCATCTGAGGCGTTCATGGCTCGCAGTCTCAACCATTATATACCCTATAAATGCCAACTCCCTTAGACACCTCCTCATCTGTCACGGTCAGAATACACATATCCATAGCTTACCTGCTAGCTTACGGTCAGATGAGTGTTTCCAACAACTCGGTTCTGAGCACGTGGTGGATTAGTTGGTCCCGGCTATAGTGTTCTTTCCATGTACGTGAGATGTGATATATGAACTAACTATCGCAGTTAACCGTTGCTGGTTGCCCATTGTAGAACACGGCACTCAGCGTCCAAATCTTCATGTGACTGGACGACGGAGGGAAGTTGTTGGAATCTGCTGTCTCTCGAAGACGTAGGGCTCAGAGTACTGACTACGTAGTCTAGAAGACATGCGTTGAAAACGACCGGAAGGCGTGTAGATAGATGTATCAACCAACGATGGAATGTCCGTCCCGAGTGGTAGAAGGTGACGAGCGTACCTACCTTAGTATATGTAGTACACCCAACGAACTTGACCGGAGTCGGTCGGTCAACCGTGAAACAGTTCAATAGTTCAAGTTCAGTCTCGTCAGAGCATGTGGTGCTCAAGTGAGGTGAGGCGTTATGATGAAAGCAGTATGATCCACCCACCTAGGTCAGTTATCCCCCTGAGGTGTCCTTGAATGCCTGGAGCATACCTACTCACCGCAGTTCTTCAGTTCCCGGATATAGTGACTACGGTAAGGTACTGTAGTAACCTCCTCGGCATCAGCCGAACAACGGCGAACCGCGAAACGGAGTGATGCCACGGGCAGTGTACCATTTGGTAGGTACTCTTTTCTAACCAGGACCTGGGTGTACTACAACCTGCAACTACAGTCCTGGGTGCCTGGTGGAAAGACTCTGTCTTCGCCACTCACCTTAACCATGACTGGGTCAGAAGAACTTGATAATTGGCCATCCTCACTCGCTCACCAACCCAAGATAAGATTGACGAATGAAGTGGAGGTTCACAATGCATCGGTGCTTCAACTGTCCTTCTGGAAGGCTGGACGCCGAAGAAAGGACTTGTCACTTTTTGTTCATGCGAGCGAAAGGTAGTCTAAGTGTGGGGACATGGGATAACTGAAGACTTTGTTGGGACTTGGACACTACTACTTCGAAATGTCGTTTTTGGGAAGTAAGTAAGGTACTACTTCAAGTTCGTCGGTTGTCCAAGGCACCGCGCCTTTTGTCTGTTCTGGGCCCGTCGCAGAGGTGTAGCGTACCTTACTTACCTACTGTACTGTATGAGTCGGTGTTCACGTTGGCCTAATAAGTGATCGTAGCTCCGTCGCCGTTAACACTTCGTTGGCCATGACCGCGGCTTCCTCCTTTAGCTGTAGTGTCGCAAGGAGACCTTATGGGTTTTTCTCTCAGAAACCGCAGTGGGCTTAAAACCGTCGCGCAACAGAATCTGCCGAGCAACGATTGCGACTTCCTAACCGTGACCGCTCAACAACCGCCCGGCAACGACTTGAACCTCAAGTCCGTCCCTTCCACCTTGCTGGTCCTAGGAGCTCGGCCGCCTGCATATGTTCTTTCCTGACCAGAAGGCTTGGAAGACTGGGCGATGAATGGGTAGGCAAGGAAGGCGCGAATGTCCAGGGAAGAAGCAGATGTACCTCTGTTAATGAGGCCCATTCTTAAGTATGTAGAAATTGATCGCTCTTACTACCCCTTCTAACAGATATTCCGCCGGTGTACCTTGTCATGGAACAGTTCCTGCCGGATGAGTGTTCTTGGTGACCAGGGACTGAGGAGACCTTATGGGTTTTCCTGGAGAAACCGTAGTGAGCTATCAACGGTGGTGCAACCGTAAGTCCCCCAGCCACGGTTGTGGGTTTGCAACCGAAACTGTTCTACCTAAGTACTTCATTATCATCGCGCGGCGTCTTGAGTTCCGGGTTATCAACGACTCGAGACCCGACGGTTACAGCTGAGACCTGAACACTGCACCGCGGCATGGCATGATTAACTCGGACGGATAGCACAGTCACCCACACGTTCAGGACTGGACGTTCCAGAACAGCCCCCATCCATTCTGTTCTTTCACTGCAGACTGCTTCTCCAGACCTGGTTCTGGTTCTGGTTCCTGACAACCAACTCCGGTTTGCAGCGTTCTGCCAAGAGAATTGGATGCGTGGGATTCGTTGTCCAAAGCATGAAAGGCTTCAAGGAAACGCCGAATTTGGGGGTTCAGTTGATGGAGGGGTTGAGAGTTGAGAGGACTGGAAAGATGATGATGACGGCCGGGCGGGCGGAGGGAAGAATGACAATGACGAAGTTTGGCCAGGCTTTGGGTAATTGACAGGTCAGTCAATACAGATAGATGCAATGGGTAAATGAATGGATAGAAGATTGCCCGTTGTGAACTTGAAAACCGGCGTCACCGGTTACGAAGTCGAGCGTGATGGGTACAAGCCAAGCACCAACTTGAAGTGCTATCAACAGAACTGGAAGTCGTGGAAGCGAAAACAAACACTTGACTACCCTGCTAACAGTTTTACATAACAGATGCCCGCGCAAAGAGTTGCCATGAGAAATCAAAACTACTGCATCAACAACAACTTGAACACTGCAAAAAGCCAAGAGATGCCAGGCTTCGAAAGGATGGTCTTGGTGCCAATAATTACATTCGACCTTCCTTGATCGTCCAAGTTGTTTTCTTGGCTTCCTTCCGAGTCCAGTAGGTAGGCCGGGTAATATGTGCGTTCCAACCTGAAGTCCGAGTCAACTTGATGTGAAGTGCACTGCATCTAGGGGACTCGCTTTCTGAACTGGCCAGATCACGATGCATGGATGGATGGATGGATGGATGGTTTTCAAGCCCGTCTGCATCTCGTCCTGAACTTACTTGCATATGGGCGTACGTAGTACTTAGCATCTGTACATAGGCAAACATGAAGCGGCGTACCTAATCTATGCACCTTTATTCACTCATCATAGCCAAGCATGCGCGCCATAAACACCATGTATTGCGTTCGGGATCGCATTGGCCACGGACCACACGCCGTACTGCACACTTACTTCTATAAACTCTTCCACCCCGGCCGTCGACAGGGGCGAACGGGTGGGTGAGCAGACTTCCCTCGATGAACGAGAGGGCTTGGCTTGTGGTGCTGTATGTAGTCTGTCACAGTAATATTGTACGATGGCTGCTGGCCTCGACGTTTTGCATGCCAAGGTGGTGGATGGTTGTCAAAGCATGACAAGAACTGTGACGACAGCGAGCCCTCCAGAAGAGGAACCGACGACGAACCAACACCACTCTTCCTGGCGGGTCAAATCGGAGAAGAGCTGAGGGATAAAGTGACAAGTAAGCGAAGGCCATGCACACACTGCACAGCTCTAGTTGCATCCTATGTCCTATTTTGGACATCGTAAACGATCGGTAACCGGGTCATTGACCAGTGTCACACATCACGAGAAAACATCAGAAACATACCTAATGATTACTGGGACCTCCCGATCCGAGTTGAACTCCAGGCCAATGAGCCTGGCCCCCACGCTTTCTCTTCCCCTCTTTTCTTTGCCCTTTTCCGCGATGATGCCCTTCAGAGCTCAGCTGTTAATGGATACACTACCGGTATGGTTAGCGGGTAAAGCGAAGAAAAGATCTGTAGCGGGGAACGCAGCAAAAGGCGACTCAATGGCCAAGATATTCATAGGGAAAATGCAGAGGGTGTATTGATATCTGAACTTTTTTCTTTCCTTCCGCCTGATTGCCTTCTCGCAGCTCAAGGATTGATCCATAGCAAACGACGCTCAACACAAAATTAAGGACTTGGTTCTCCCCGCTTCCTCATATCTGGATTTATGATGCTCTCTGCTTGCTGTCTCATGATAACACGCCTGATCGTTGTCCACTCCAAGATGCACCGCTCAAACCCCGTTCTCTAATGCTCTTCCAAATCGGTAAGACAACAGGAAACCGCCATGCCCAAAAACCAAAACCCATAATACCAAACCACCACACTAACAGCACATGGCTGATTTGAATCCCACAAACGCCCATGTATAGAACTTCTCCGACCCAAATGAAGAATGTGCAAAGAATTCCTCCTTAATCAAATACCGAGAGCGCCCAATCATCGAGCTGTACTCAACTCCGGTGGTAGCAATGTGAAATGAACACAAAAGAGCACGCATTGCGTCTCTGCTACGGTTGTTCTCATGGTGTCGACGAAGGTGAAGAAATTACTCGTAATTAGATTATCCTGAGCCACAAGAGTAGTGATCGTTCAGGTTCTGCCGATGACAGCCGCAACATGATGTGGCTTGGGGGGCAAGTGATTGTGACAGAAAATCTTTTGCGGTGCGCCTTTTCCGAAGGCTCCCTTCTTGGAGGCATCAATCGTCTTGGATGGATCCTCGTAGCTTTCAAGTTGGCAGCACTCGATATTCTTGACGAGTCTGCTGTTGAAGACGTCGGTGATCGAAATGCGCTTGTCGGGATTGGGGTTAAGCATCTGGAGCAGGAGGCGACGGAGTCCGTTGTGGGTAACGGCAAAGTCCATGAACTTTGCGCGTGGCATGTCGGTGTCCGCAGGGACTGGATCAGTCTGACCAGCGTGTTTTGCGTTCCACTTTCTCCAGCCTTCCGCTAGTTGGACATAGCAGACATCCGGCTTGGAGCCGTCGGGGGGAGTTAAAGTCGCCTGGTTCCAGATGGAGCCGCCAAATGTCATGGCGAGCATGCAGACCGCAACGCCCCAAACGTCAACGGCGCGCGGATCGTAGTCGGTGGCCTTCTCGAGAATCTCGGGGGGCACATATGGCAAGCTGCCCAGATAGCCTCCGGCACAGCGACGCACCTCTACCATACCCTGGCCACACTGACCACCGGCTTCCCTCTCTCCAGGGTGTCTGCCGCTAAACACTTCCGAGACGCCAAAATCGGCAAGCTTGAGCTTGCTGTCGGAAGTAATCAGAATGTTTTCGAGTTTGATGTCGCGGTGCGCAATTCCGTTCGAGTGGAGGTAGTTGACAGCTTGTACTAGCTGTTTGAAGAGACACAGACGGTCCTTCTCCCTGTCTTCTGACATAAGATACTTCTTCTGGACCAAGGAAAAGAGATCGCCCTCGGAGCAATACTCCATCACGTGGCTATATAGACCATGGTGGGTACATAGGCGTATTGTCTCGACGATGTTCGGGTGGTGAAGACTCTTTGACACGGTATATTCGGATAGAATCTTCTTGCGGTATTCTTCCGTTGTTTCTGAACTTGACTTTGCTCGGAACTGCTTGACAGCATAGATTTCGTCCGGTTGCCCCTTCCGTGATACGAGGGTAACCTTGGCTGAGCCACCCTTTCCGATGGTGGCGTGGCGTCGTAGGAGTTTGTTGTGGTACTCGAATTCGGACAAAAGATCGACGACATCGACGGTAAAGTCGTCGGGTAGGCTCAAGCTCAAACGCCTGGCCTTTAAGCCGGTGCCGGTTGGGGCAGGAATTTCCCAAGGCGCTCTTGACATCTCAACCTGCGGGTGCGCGGCGCTTGATTTTGCCGACTTTTCACGTTTCGAGGTATCGAAACTGCTAGCACGGCGACGGAGGGGTCGGCGGAGGTGCTTTGTCTCGTCGTGCGAAGCATTGTTGGTAATGAAGTTGATGGCGCGTGATCGGAGGCCCAAACCTGTCGTCGCCCTCTTCTTCTTGTCGAAGAAGGCGTCAGGACCTGGGACTGTCGGGCTTGATGCTTGTTCCTTGGACATGATGCTCATCTCTAGCGGTGAGCCGGGCGATGGAGGCGTGTTTGACCGCGTGGTGGTGTTGGAACTCCTGGCCAGGGAGAAGCGGCGGCCGGGAATATCTCGTGGCTGAGTCATGTCGTGAGGATGGGGGTCTAGAACCGCACTATCTCCGTGGTGATCCATCAGGCCGGGTACGGATCTCTCCAGCGTGGAGGCCGTGCGCCTGAAGATGCCGGACATGGCGCGTTTGAAAGTGTTGGATCGGCGCCCGGTGGTGGTGGTGGCAGTCGACTCGGCAATTGAGTTCTTTCTGGCCCGGGGGGCGGGAGTATAATGAGCGTTGAGGTTAAGTGTGCTTTTTGAGCTAACTGCAGAGGCAGCCGAGAAGGAGTCGCGGGGCTTGCCGGGCGCAACAATCGATCCGTAGGTGACGTCGTCGTCGTCGCTTGGATGAGCGTCGGGGGCGACGAGGGATTCGTGGAAGTCCTGGGACTGGCGGCCGCTCACAGGCGTGACAGGCTCATTGGTAGCGTCGCTCTCAGTCTCATCGCCTTCTTCGGGGATCGCGCTGCTAAGGTCGGTAGGATATTGATGCGGCGAAGGCTCAGGCCCGGGAAGATTGGGCTCGGAGTGCGAGGTGTGAGGATGATCTGGGGACAGAAACGTTGAGTATACTGTTCGACGGGTAAAGCTAGGCGGCGAGGATACTGGCTGGCAATATTTGAAAGGTACTGAAAGGGACGAACAAGAACTTGAGGGAGAAGAAGAACAGGAAGGGCGGGATGAAGTGAAAGAGAGTAATAAGGGTAGCCTTTCAAAGCCATGTGCATGATTCAAATCGGAGGGTGATAATACCTTCTAGAGAAGTCTGCGTAGCCGCAGCAGCAAGCACCGAGGCTGCCATTATGGAAAGCTCTGGGGCTTTTTTTTCGGGGTGGGAGTGTGCAGCGTTCAGCAGGGCAGGCGGCACAGCCGGAATTGGTGGAATACGTCAAGGTCTCCTTTTGGTGCGGGATGGAAGGGGGGGTTTTGGCTGATGACCGCTGATGATATGAGTGGCCACCTACGCAGCGAGAACAGGGCAGCACACCACACTGACGGAATCAGAAGCAGGCGCCGGTCCAAAACGGATGCAAGAGTGACCCCCCAAAAAGAAGACAGGAGCCGAGAACCCGAAGCCCCGAAACTATGCACCCCAACAAGGAACGAACCCTGAGGCTAGACTGGTGAAAGAAGCGACGTCGCGGTGGTCCCAAAAAGCTGGGCGCCTGGATTCACTTTGAGCGGATCGGTGTTACCGATCACCAAATCCCGAACCCTTTGACAGCAAACTTTGTGCTGCTTCGCTGCAGGGACATCCACACAAACCTTGCTCTGTTTGAGAATCGTCTCCGTTACCGGGACGGCCTGTCTGCGAAGATGGTGCTTGAATCGGCCGGCTGCTGCTGTTGCAAATCTAGTTCGGGGGCGGAGCGTGCCGGATGCTCTTATACGTGCGCGGGACTCGATGGCTGCCTGTCCGGTGTAGAAAGTTGCCGTGTGTGAGTTGTCTCGGTGGACCAAAGCTATCGTTCCTTGCCAAGACCGCACAGGTGTGTGTGCTCTGCTAAAAAGCGAGATTCGTGTCGCCCTGGGCGATGAGCGTGGCGCGGGTGGTTGAAGGTACAAAAACGGCCGAGATCTACAGCTTTGAAATGCTGGTTGGCTTGCACGCTGCTTGGCGGCCAGAGAGTGGAAATGGAAGTCGAATGGGCAGAGTGTTGAGTGTTCCTAAAAGGATAGTGCAAGAAAGCTAAACCGGTGTCGTAGTTGTTGTGGCCTGTGGGACTTGTGGGCGGGTTATAGCAGCATAATTTGGTCGTAGTGAAGATGTCCTGTTGTCGGTGTCCGGGAAATGTGTCGGTAGGTTCTTCTCTCTGTGTCTGTTGGTCTCAAGAGAGAGCGAATGCTGCGGCGAGGGAGGAAGAAGAGGAAAGGAGGAAAAGAGGCAGGTCAATGGATTAAAGCAGTCGGCTGGATCTTGGGTGAGGGTCTTGAGGGCTTTTGGGTATTCTCAGTCCCCGACCCCGGGGCTACGACGAGGGGGGGGCCTGCGCAAAATTGGGAAGCTGTCGGGCAGTGCCGGTGAATCTGATGCCCGCTGCGGGAATACGGAAAAGCGCAATGCTGCCAGTGGGGAAGGCCATTGGAAGGCGGGGCTTTTAGACGCAGCCTGGACTCCACGACGATGGTGGGCTGGCTGGCTGCCACGGAAATGATGCTTTCCAGGAGGTATGTATCCAGCAAGTACAGTACCTACCCGCCTCATGGTGAGTTGTCTATCAATGGCTTGCGCAGGCCATGTGTAGCAGGCAATGGAGACAGGTACGCTCCCATTGTTGTCCTAATGGATGCCCACACTTGACCGCTGGATGCAGAGCGACAATCGGCGTTTGGGAAATAAAGTGCCCCAGACTGGCCCAGCGAGTACAGGTGTACAGGTACACCATTCTACAGCTGTGGTAGCGAGCTTGTTCGAACGAACAAGTTCATCCCATCTCTGCAATCCCAGCTGGTTGGTAACCTCGATATGCAAGACCACACGCGAGCAGGCGGGTGGCCACTGAATGTCAAAAGAACGAACCTTTCGAGGGTTGCAATCGGTCAGTTATGCCATGAAACCATCCACCCGCCCGTAACCCCGTAAGCAGTGAAGGAAACAGGGAGTTTGGGAGAAGCCCACAGTCAAAGAGACGACACAAAGACTGATTGTCTTGCGGAACATGACCTCGTGGATGGGTGTCCCTTGAGCCAATTGACGGGATTTACAACCTCACCTCCAGGGCCCGGCAAGTCTTTGACAGACTTCCCCACCAAGCCGAGGAATCAGCATTTCCGACAAAGCGGATTGGTCGTGAGCGGATGTGCACGGCAGAAAGAGGCGCTCTAGAGCTGCCTTCTAGAAAACCATATCGTTTTCCATCTTGCGGTGCCCAGTCCGTTCTGGCCTGTTGATGCGGGCCAATCGTACTCTCGCGTTCAAGTTGCTGACGTTGAGTAACAACCACTTCTTCAGTCATGATGGGCGAGTGACCGAACAATGAAGGCATTGTCGAGGCATTGTCCTATGTCCTATGCAGAAGACATTTCGGCCGGAGCATGTCCGTTGTTAGCACGTATGCAAAGACATGTATCCTCATCGTGGGGGTGTACTAATAATGTATGAGACTTGTCTTGCTCCTCTTATCGCCAAGAGGCTTTTGGAATTACCAAGACCGCCCAGACGTATGCTGCAATATCAGGCCCGCGTCGGCTCTTGAATTGGCCGCGATGGCTGGACATGTCATATCAATCGCACAACAGCCAAAACAAACAAGCCGTAGTAGGCAACGGAGGTGAAAAAAAAAAAAAAAAAAACGAGACAAGACCAGGCTTGAGTCTCTGGGCAGAGGCTATCCTCGGATCGGGATGCAACAAGTTCGTTCGAAACTCGAAAGTCGAAACCAGTGGTCCATCGAGTGATCAATCATACCTAGGTACATATCACTTGCCCGCCATCACAACGAGAACTGCTCAAATGCTCACAAAGGGCGAGCTGCCGACTTCCGATCCAGGCGGGGTTTCTATTTCCCCACCGACGTCTCAATCTCGAGGACCCATTCGACCCATTCGACCCATTCGACCCCACAAGACCCCCATCCCAACACCAGTGGACACCACGAGCGCACCGCCGAGAGAGAACGAGATCTCCATCGCATCACTGCACTTCGGTTTTGGGGTACATGGGAATTACAGAACAGTACGCACCTGGCATGAAATGTCACTGTATACTCGATGGAGGTATTGCACGTGCGATGATGATAGGATGAGGTCAAACCGGCACGTCCAGAACCCCAGAAGGGGAAGGAGGAGGGAGGGTTGCTGATCCAGCAGAGTGGTTCCTGGTCCTGAAAACTGAAAAGGCCCTGGAGAGAGCCTAGGCGTCTAGTGCGGTAGTGTGTGGGTATAGCCTTTTTTTCTACGCGCGATCCCTGCCAAGCCTCCGAGACCTCGACAACGCGAACTGCGTCATCGGGCGCTGCTCGCTACCCATCAATGGGGCGGGGTCTCCGGTCTTAGCTGGTCGATATGTGACCGCGCGTGGGGGGAAATCAGGAGCTTCGTTTCGGCTCCAGGGACACCATTGCATCATCTCCGAAACTGGACCACGAAAAGAAACCAAGACCCCATTGTTGATCATCTCGCCTTACTTCCCTCATCCAGGGTTGGCATATGATGAGGACGATGGAGTTCTCAAAATACCTACAACAACCGAGACCGCCGTTCCCCCCAGCTGCACGGCTACATGGGCCATTCCCACGGCGGGGTTGACACTTGACACTAGTGTTGGTAGGACAATGGCACAATGGGATCGATCGAGCCAAGGGGTTCAATTAATTAAAGACGGTTCAAGCCAGAGTCCGGGGAAGGCCAGGATCCAAACTGTCAGGTCGAGGTCTCTACACTACAACAGCCGTATACGCGGATACCCGGCCCTATATGGGTAGGTAGGGACAGGTTTCGAATTCCACCACCGACATCAATGGATTGGCCAGCTGCCCAGCCGTGAGGATCGAGTTCAGCCTCCTATTTCTGAGCAAGTTTGGTATCATGACGACAGTGGTCACGGCGCGTGTGTGAGCCCACCATTGCGTTGTGGATGCCTTCCACGGGTGGGTGTGTCGAGGCCGGTTACATCTCGTGGTTGATGTTACATTTGCTCCCCGTCAACACACAATGTGTTTTCCTCTTTCTTCCGAGGACAGTCTCGCTACCACTTCCCCCTGGATCTTCCTCGTGCTTACTTTGAACCAGATGATCATGCCGAGCGGAATGCGGAACACTCCTGTCAGGAAGTCCTCGGTATCGGGCTTACACGATGATTTGATCAGCGTTGTCCGCCTCCTTCTGACTTACGTACCATAGCATTGTCTCCCCTCGTTCTCCTTCTCGACAGGAAGCTCGAGCTGTAACCTCAACAACTCCTTGGCCAGTCTCACCGCGGTCAAACAAGACGCACAGCCAAGAACATGCAAGTCATTTCTCTGGTCCAGATAACCTGTGGACGATGGGCAATCGCTTGGCACCAGGCAATCTGGCCGATTTCACTCAGCTGTGTTGCCTTCTCACGCACGACACGCAGTGGGAACCTGGTGACGATCTGGATGGCTTGTCTTGGTAATGTAAGGTACTGAGGCAGAATCCCGTCGCCAAGAGCTGGGCCTGCTTCATCTGAACGGCTGTTCATGGCTGTCGGCCTCCTTCGTGTCACGATAACTCTGCCTGTAAGACGCGGCAGTTGGCTGTTCTGGTCCAACGACCGAGCATCCCTTTCGGTCCTTTCCTCGCCGTCTCGCTCAGTGATGGGTCACGAGCCTAGGGGCAGGCGAAACTTCTTTACCTACGGCTCCTCCGAGAGGAGGCTCTTATCCACACGAGCTCTCATAGGGCATGGCATGCTTTTTAAGCCCAGGCCACATTGGATTGACAATTCGGTTCGAAGTGTAAGATATCATCGTCTCCAAGTGTCTCGTGCTGACCCCCACATCAAAGACACGATTTAGAAGTGTGATGGATGAATGAATGGCTTCTCGCTTACCACCAGCTTTTCTGCAGCAATCCCAAAGTTGTCGTTACTCTCAGTGATATACCTGCAAGGTCCATTGAATCAACCAATAGGGGTAACCGGAGACAATCACACCTCTTTTGGACTTCACAGTCTTTGTGGTTGTGATCTTGTAACTCGTCCATGTGCAAAGCATTGTACGTCCAAACATCGTTCATCACGCAGCCCCCAGACTTCCAAGATGCCTTGGCATTTCGATCTCCCGTCTAGGCAATGCACCCCTTGTTTCGTCTTGATGGTGAGAACCTTACTTGACAAACGGTCGAATTCATGCGGTTGGTAGAGACACTGTCCTCGAACTGCAACAACGCATTGAGTTGATGGTTCCAGCACTTTATGGCAAACTTTGTGATCTGTGCTAGAAGCTTTGCTAATCACGAACATCCAACTTACCTTGACCGAGCCAGTTTCTGACTTCTTTTCACAGCGATGCCTTCTCGCACACTCCGTCACCGTTGCACGGCATCAATTATTGCCTCTTCAAACTCGTCCCCGCCATGAGCTATCGACATGCTGCTCGGTTCAGGCTGCTTATGGCTTTCCAACTTGGTCCGGGAATTTCGAGGCCAGAAGAAGTGATAGCCGTCTCGGTGCCGATGTCAACTGGTTCTATGAAAACAATCATTCCGTGACCAATTCCGATCAGTCACCAGGCAACAGAATCCAGTCCATGGCCGTGGTTGTCACTGATACAGCAGGCAGTGTCCCACGACATAAACGGAACGCATGTGTGAAACCGGCTCCCAGCCACAAGCTGGCGGCCTGTCACATCAGATGTCAAGCTGTCGGCTAGCCGCTTCCAACCCTCCGGGATGATTTCCGGGAGACAAGGCAACTCACACGACGCAACCTTTTTGGGAGACCAGCAAGCCCCGAGATTTTCGTGACAATGCGAGCCTCCTATAACCTGTCAATTCAACCCCCTTCGATGCATGTTCCCCCCTCCAGTCAGAAGGCTATTCAAGAGGCGGTGTGTAGATGGCTGCCGCCGCTCTACCTATCCCGAACGGCAGTCTGTCAGCTTTCCGAAACGCAACGAGGTGCTCATCAAGTGGCTAGCTGTTGATATCAAACACAAAGGTAGTATAATATGTATTTCTATGGAGGGACTCGTCCACTTCCGCATGCTTCTAACGCCGACCTCCATCGCCGTGTTGCTACACTACCGCGTGTGATGCACGTTAAAAAGTATGTTTCCCGAATTCAAACCACAGGCACACCCACTCTTCCGCATGGGCACACCGAGATGTTGGAATAGTAAGCACTTAAAGGAGGCTTGCATCGAGAGGGCAACAAGCGTCTAAAAGCTGCGTGTTTCAACAGCGGTGGCACGCAGTACCGCAGACGAAGTCATCCCTCGGAACTTCCACATCCAGGGCTCACAATCCTGCTGTCGAACTTATCGGGTTGCTCAACATGATAGCTTGATTTTACAGCAGTATCATATTCCACCTGACTTGACTGACAGAACGACTTGAAAGAGAGAAGGATATAGTCAGGATAGTAAGCTATGTCGACAGCATATTAGTTACAGGTGGGGGGATCGACAGTTCCACCACAGCGTCAAACTTCAACCACATGGCAGTATTGCGGCGCTATCTTCCACGCTCGACAACCTCAAACCTTCTTTTGAGCTTATGGTCCTATGGGTTTAACGCCGGAGAAAGAGAAAACTAAATCCCTCAGACAGCCACAGCTTGGGGTTCGAAAGTAAGCACAACCAACCAACGCAAAGGTTTGTAATAAAGGATTGACATCCCCCCCTCTTTCGGCTACCGCTCCCGGTAGTCAGCTAGGGTGTAAGTAGGTACTGTGTTTGTATCATTTGTACTAAGTGAATCCAGCCTGCAAACAGATTATCTCAGTGCTCAGACCTCCCTTTCTTCGTTCAGATCTCATAGGTACGTACCGCCTGGCAGCTGTGTCGGGCTGGCAGGCCCACTTTTTTTGAACTCCCGTCTCCCGAAGGGAGGTCTGAGTTCAGTACGTAGTCCGAATCGTGAAGAAGTTGACCAAATCTTGGGGAAAACGAGTCACTCAGCAATGGAACCACCACCATTTGAATGCAACTCATCAAAACTTCCTCGAAAATAGAATTCTGAGCTGGCTTTCTAATGATACTACTTTTATTGGGCTACGACCTTGAAAAGTGCTAACCGTAAGGACACTTGCCTAAGAATGGGCCTTATGGTTAGCACTTTTCAAGGTCGTAGCCCAATAAAAGTAGTATCATTAGAAAGCCAACTTAAAATTCTACCTTCGAGGAAGTTTTGATAAGTTGCATTCAAATGGTAGTGGTTTGCATTAAGAAAAGGTCGAAAACATTTTTCCGATTTGTATAGGAGACGGAAATATCTAACGAATTAATGCACCTAGTGAACTCGGACCTCTTTTTTGGGTGTTCTTGAATAAAAGTGGGCCTGTCAGCTGCCAGGCCCTGGACCGCTAAAGGTCCCTATAACACTGCACCCAAAAAAAAAGAAGAGGTCTGAACGCTGAGATAACAAACAGAGGGGTTTCCGAAGGCTTTTCCTACTATGTCAGCGGTCTCGGCTCGGCCGTCAGCTTCTAGAAACAAACTTTGAGTTCCGGTCACGGGGCGTTTAGATATCCGACCACGCATTTCACCTTTAGTGCCCTCATATGAGAGGGAGCGATATCTTTACGCAAAAGAAAGAAAGTCGTGGTATGGAATCATGCCCCTGGTAAACTTGCAAAGTCCCGTCCGCGTTCCTGCTTGTTCAGGAAACACGCAACGTATCAAACTGAACAAGTGAACCAAATCTAGCCTTGGCAAGCTTGGCGGTAACGATCATGATCAAAACTCAAACATTTTGAATTGTCCAAGACTCTCCAAGACGGAAGATCCCAACTAAGCGCTCCAGTCGCAAGCTGAACTTGTAACCCCATTGTTGTGGTTCTTGGCCTCTTGGCCGGGGCACAAAGGGGGCCATCATCAAAATGCGCACGGACATTGCCATATGGCTTTAGGAACAAGACGCACGGATAATGGAGCCCTTCAGAAGCTTCAGTGGACAACCGCTGGAAAGCCGGGCTCGTGGTACAGGGGCTCCAGTGGAAGTGCGTAAGAAGGTTGTAGATCTTCGATCAACCTCAGATCAACACCAGTCATTCGTGATTCTGGGTCTCAAACCACGAAAGGGATTAACGGTCAAAAAGCTGACCGAAGAAACGTTGCTTTCTCTTGGCTCAGAAACCATGCTTGCCATGCTCCCATGACCGCCAAAGTGAAGCAAGCTCCGATCGTCTTTTCGCACGTGTGTGCTTCCATTGACGATCCAGTCAGCCAGTGCCTGTGGAAAATTCCAAAAACTTTTCTAAAACAAGCCTGACAGACGAATCCGGTCCCCCAAGCAAAGTCAAACGGACGACGATCTTGGAAACTTGGAAGACACCGACTGACGAACCGACCTACCCTTTGGGATAGTACCGGATATAATCGATCCCTGGTGTCATATCCAAGTCACCTGTGGCCTGCCTACCTCCCACGCGCGCCAGCGGCAGCAACGGCAGCAAGTCCCTAAAAAAAAAAAACCACTGTTCAACCCCCACCTTGAAAAACGATACGGGTTGTGATGACGGATTGGCAGACAGGCTGAATGTGTCTCACGCTTGGCTTCAGAAGGGAAACCAGGATGATGGCGCGATGCAACGGGAGCCCTCTTCTGTCTCGGCTTCGGCGCGTCTCCAAGCAACAAGCGCAAAAGCAGGGCAGGCCGCAAGACACTTTTCGATCGCGGAAGACGCTGAACCGCGTAGACGGCCCTGCTTGCTCTGCCAATGGGCTACCGCTGTTTGGGGTTTTCAGTTGACGATGCTCTGTGACTGAGACTTGGCTTTGCTGGATTGGGCTGGTAGTACATATCGAGAGATGGGGCATGCTGCTGCTGCTGCCGCGGCGGGCGGCCTTCACGAGCGGGTCCCATGGAACGGTGGAAACTCGGCTCGGTGCCCTGGGTGGGTGGGCGGCGTCCTGTCGAGCTGTCGCTCGCGAGGATAGCGGACCATCCACGTCTCGGGGCGTGTTCCAAATATCGATGGTTGATCCGCTACTCGTCAGGTCTTCAAAACCGACCGTCTGACTAGCGGGCGAGCCACTAGTCAGGGCCAGCAATTCGTACACGACCAGCGATTCGTACCGGATTCTTGTACCGAGTCGGTATATGGTTTGCATGCATTGGATATCTAGCTCGGAGGGGTAAAATGCATCTAACCCATTTATATATGTGGGTAAACCCGCTAACCGGCTTAGCGTAGGCGACTTTGGCGCCAAGGGTTTTTCTTAGCCCGTGCATGTCGCTCCCGCGGTACGAATCGCTGGTCGTGTACGAATTGCTGGCCCTGACTAGGGGGTTTCCTCCTAGTCAGACGGTCGATTTTGTAGACCTGACGAGTAGTTGATCCAGTTGTTGATCCGAGTACAAAGCCAAAATCTGCAGCTCGAATGTACCCTTTGCCAAGGCCGTGCCAAGGCCTTGGCATTACCAGGGTTGGAACTTTTCTTTCGTGAACTCCAACAAAGGGTTCATTTGGGAATGACTATAACGAGCTCAATTTTGAAGCCATTCACAAATGGAGACATCCATCAGGTTAGTCTCTATAACATTAACCTCTCTCACCTCCCCCCCCCCCCATCCCCGACCCCCCCGCGCCCCCATCCTATATTATATATAAGTCTCTTCGAATAAAGTAAGAAGAGGTCTATAATAATTTTGAACGTTTTGGCCGTTAGCCGCAATAATCCTTATATAAACAAAAAATCTACTTAACAGTTATTCGCGATTATTTTAATAACAATAATACGTATCTAAATTCGGATTGCTTGTTATACTTTATATAAACTAGAGCTTCCTTATTATATTTTTGTTTTTTTCATTACAACTTATATTTATTATTAAGCATCCCCTACGGGGTATATTTGTCAAACGCAATAATTATTATCCTAAAAAATAGGTATCATATCTCTACTATTCTATATCAAATCTATTTAAAATTTAGTACCGATAATAGTTCAGTCCAATTCTACCTTCGATAAAATTTTCGGCTTCGTTTAATACTTTAAAACGTATTCCGATTTTACCGTTTCACCTACCCTAAATAGGATTACATAATAATATATAATTACTATTATTAAATATACGAATTTAGACGAATATTAATAATTTTAAATTCGGTTTATATATACTATTATTCGAATTTTATTTAATTTAATCGTTGAATTAGTATTTAAATAAACTCCGCGTTAACCTCGCTTGGAATAAATTAAATATATCTATTATATCATTTATTAACATAGTAATACTATCCTAATAGTAATACTTAGCTTTAATCAAAGTATTATATTTTAAATAATATTAATTATTCTACTAATAAAAGCTATGTTATAAATTATATTATTTAATTATTTTAGTTACAAATAGAGGGACGTTATTATAAAGTACTCCGGCGCTAAATTATTATTTATTAATTAAGATTTTTATAAAATATATAATATATTTACTATTATTTTTGGACTCTTTATTAATATAATTAAATTAATATATTATAAGAGTATATATATTTAAGATATTTTATACATATTCTCTTCGGACCAAAATAAATATTTTACTACCAGTTTTTTAAATTCCTCCGCGCCCTTAAATTCGCTACCCGTATAGTATTCGTAATTATAAATAAACTTTATACAATCTATTAATAACGTAATTTCCGTAAAAGATTCTCCGATCTTTATTAATTCCATTAAACCCTTCCTCTTTCTATCCTATAGTTCGGATATATAATTATTTTAAATAAATAATCCGAATCCTATATAGGAATACGCCGGTTTTTGTTAACTTAGGAAATTTATAAACGCCTTTCGGATTATCTACGCTTCTATTAATTAACCTAATATTAATATCGTTTTTAATTATATTCCGCTTAACGAAAATTAGAATTTTAAACGCTTCGAATTCCTCTTTATCCCTACTATAGGAAGTATTATACTAAAAATAATTATTTATATCGATAATAAAGACCTAATTAATAAGGCAAAAAACTTTTTTATTTACGCTTTAATAAAGCGTAGTATCCGTAACCGAGCCGATACGCTTTTAATAATCCAAATTCATTATTCTTATATTCGGCCTCCGGATTAAGAACGATTTTATGAATAATTTATTACCCCCGAATTCTAATATCGTATTATTATATTTATAGTAATATTATGGATAGGAATAAATATACTTAACGTTATTTAAATTATATAATATAATATAATTATATTTTTAAATATTATAAATTTATAATAATATTTCGGTCAAGCCGTCCGTAGTAGTAGAAAAGGGATTATTTATTTTTTATACCCTATTAGTATTTTAATAGGCTTAGGTATACTTCTAAGAAATAATCTCTATTAAAAACGTATTTCAATAATAATCGTTCGTAAATATATAAATCCGAATTATCGTTTATAACGGATATAATATTCGATATAATCTAATTTTAATTATTTAATTAATTAAAATGTCCT